TAATGCCTGGCTCTTGGCACTCCCCTGATAGTATTACAGGTGATATAGACAAAGGGGTTGATTTACTAAAACTGGAGCGTGCTGATTGTTACCTATGCAGATTTTGCACTTTCTGGTTTTGGTAAATCAACCTCAATATCTTTCTTTTAGGGTTCATGCTGACACTTTATGAGAAAGATCTCAAGTCCTTTCAGCTTCCAGGGGGGATTATCACACCTTGAGCTGGGCTTGCAAACAGAGTGCCTAGTACATTGCACCCCATGATTCATACAACTGTAATGCACATATGCACTCAACTTTATAACTTAATAACTGAATGGTCTAAAGTAGATTAACAAGTTTGTGGATGTGGCAAATGGAGTTGAGTTAGACAGAAGAGAGTGTATGGCTGATGTGTAAAGCTATTGGCCAAATTACAAAAACAAAAATGCCACCAATTTATTTAGAATGAAAGTTAGTGGGTTCAAAGTTTAGCTATAAAATTATACACAGAAAACGATCAGTTATATGGCATAACCAATAGTCCATATAAACATAACGGTAGATGTGAATGAATGTGAAAATCTTCATACAGCATTATTTGCGGTAGTAAACATAAGTATTTAGTTTGACCTTCACATGGCATTTCTTTTAACTTTACTTATCATTTTTTATTTAATCCTTCCACTCCTGTTGTTCAATTAGTGTTTGACCCCTTTAGCAGAGATGTAAATTAAATGACATTTCAATGCCATCCCATATTTAAAATTCTGTGTTAGTTGTGGATCATAAATGATGATCTTCGTTCTTTAGCTAATTTATTCATTTAACAATTTCCCTCCAGAAGTTCCAGCAGAAGGCTCTGAAGCAAACTAAGCAGAATAAATCCAAGTCGGCTGAATTTCTGATGGGTGAGCCTTGCTTGATGAGTTATTGCTCATAATTTGTGTAAGGATTAATTAACTAATTACAGACAAATGGCTGTGGGCGAAATTTTGCTCTTGCTTGTCATGGTGCAATTTGTAATTATTTTAATCATTTATTCTCTTTTTTTTGGGGAGAGTTAATTTTAACCTAATTCTGTTTTGGCGACATTTGAGGACGATACACTGGAATTTTTCAGCAATGGAAGTATTCGAAGGAATGCTTTTTTTCTTGTCATTGAAATGCTTTTTGCAATGATATGCTCCCATGACCTCTTTGTTTTGCGCAGTCAAAGAAGACAGGGCAGAAGCAGAAGGCATTGAAAATCCACTCTTTAACATCATCAACAGAGATATTTCAAATTATCAATCTTCAGGGGAAAAAATTATTAGATATGACAAGTTGGATAGCACCCTTGTAACTCACCAAAAAAACCTCACGCAACAAGCCCATGCTGAACCAAGAGGTGAGACTTCACTCTTAATTATACTCACAATGAATGACAGCAACTGCCTTTCTAATGTAACCTGTGTTCTCCAAGGCCGAATTTATACATTCCATTCATGCAAGTTATAGCAAGTCATAGTCAGGATTAGAAACAATCGACTACAATTGAGTCATTCCCCTGCTATACAACTTTTCTGGTAACCATAAACAGAGCGTTACTGTTAAAATCCCCAACTACTTCCTGCTCATTTAAAAGTGTCTCATGTAAAGCAGTGCATTGTAAAAACATGCAACACATGCAAACTTTATGTCTTGTGGTAGTATAAATGCTATGCAGAGACAATAATGCAAATTCAACATACTCCACACTTAAAAATATGAGCCTATTGGTTGGCACAAAATGTTGTGTTTCTATACAGAGGATTTTACATTTTAACTTGTTACTGACTGCCTTGCTCTTTAATAAAGAGCTATGTGGATGGAAAGATATACAAAGAAGTCCTTTGTGCAGATTCATTTTAGTATATTAGAGACTGGACTTGTTTTATTTATGCCATTAGACTGTCGTTCTCTTTCACAAAGCATTTAAAAAGTAACAGATTGGAGTGTGCTTCAATACAAGATTTGCAAATTCAACATAAAGTGCTAAAGTCAAGTTAAAGCATAAAGTAAAGAATAAAACGTCAAAAAATAAATTACAGAAAATAATAGATTTTGTCCATCACTTTTTTTTTTAAATCTGTATGTTCCTTATTTTATTAAAGGGTAATATAATGTCTTACTTTATTCATGATAAAATTAAATCAAAATTTAGTTTAATTCCAGTGTTTGTGGAGGAAAAATCATCATTATAAATTGTATTGATATATCCATTATGTGTGATATTTTCTTTAGGGTTCAATAATTTAATTAAAAAAGTCCATAAACTATATGAAGAATGGATACAAATTAATGCTCTTGGGTCATGGTTTTTTTTTAAATACTTCAAGATAATTCTGGTGGTTGATCCTATATCCTATATTGATTAAATATATTACTTTTAATTACTAAAAAATGCATGAGAAATGCATAGATTATTATAGAGATATACAGTAGTTACTAATTCCCTGTGATGTTTAGTAGGGATATTCTGAAAGTTGTAATGCTCTGAGATGGTTGTGTTTGTCAATTGTAACTTCTGCATAGAACACACCCAAGAATTTTCCGCTCTAGCCTATAGAAAACTCCTGTGATATACAATCACACAAAAAGGGGCTGGTCTCCAAACCGTTAAAATCATGAATATGATAATCAGGACTGTGAGGATAAGAAACATTTTTGGCACCGAGATTAAAGTCAAGAGTATATTCTATTATGATTATTATTATGAAATTACACGCCAAATTAGCATAATATCATTTTTTTAAGAGCACATGGGTTCACATTCTAAGTCAAGGAACTTATTAGAGAATCTCATTTTATTCTTGCTCTTATTAGATACATGCTTTTCCCAGTGAAATCTACCAATGAAGTACCAACCCCATATTGCAATTAAAAAATATATATTAATTTAGACCTAGTTATATCACAGACTTGTGGCTCTCTAACCAATTTATAAGTAACCTGCATTGGATATGTGCAATACGTCTGTCATATGCTATATACACTCACCTGCCACTTTATTAGGTACACTTTGCTAGTGCCAAGAAAATATCCCACACTGCATTATACCACCACCAGCCTGAACCGTTGCCTGTCTGACCCTACTATCTGAATGTCACAGCAATCAGTCTGCCCATTCTCCTCTGACCTCTGACATCAACAAGGCATTTTCTTCCACACAACTACCACTCACTGGATATTTTCTCTTTTTTGGACCATTCTCTGTAAACCCTAGAGATGGTTGTGCGTGATCAGCAGTTTTTGAAATACTCAGACCAGCCCATCTGGCACCAATTAGACCTAAGAGGCCCAAAGTGTGCCAAAAAATATCCCCCACATTACACTACCACCACCAGCCTGAATCGCTTATATAAGGCAGGGTCGATCCATGCTTTCATGTTGTTTACACCAAATTCTGACCCTACCATTTGAATGTCGCAGCTGAAATCAAGACTCATCAGACCAGGCAATGTATTTCCAATCTTCAATTATCCAATTTTGGTGAGCCTGTGCGAATTGTAGCCTCTGTTTCCTGTTCTTAGCCAACATAGTGGCACTCGGTTTGGTCTTTTGCTTCTGTAGCCTATCTACTTCAAGATTCAACATCTTGCGTGTTCAGAGATGGTATACTGCATACATTGGTTGTAAACAAGTAGTTATTTGGGTTACTTTTGCTTTCTATCATCTTGAACCAGCCTGCCCATTCTCCTCTGACCTCTGACATCAACAAGACATTTTCATCCACACAACTACCACTCACTGGAAATTTTCTCTTTTTTGGACCATTCTCTGTAAACCCTAGAGATGGTTGTACATGAAAATTCCAGTAGATCAGCACTTTTTGAAATACCCAGACCAGCCCGTCTGGCACCAACAACCATTCCACATTCAAAGTCACTTAAATCCCCTTTATTCCCCATTCTGATGCTCGGTTTGAACTTCAGCAAGTTGCTTTCACCACGTCTAGAAGCCTAAATACATTGAGCTGCTCCTGTGTGATTGGCTGATTAGCAATTTGTGTTACCACGCTATTGAACAGGTGTACCTAATAAAGTGGCCAGTGAGTGTACATCCATATATCTATCCAATTAAGGACCAAACCTGTTCTAACACTTCTCTCCTACATGTGAAAATTAGCATTAGAAAATGACTTAGAACTCCCAAACGTTATATTTTTTTTAGCTGAGGTCCTAGAGAATAAAATGGTGGTCATTTTTTATGTAACATGATATTTATGCAGCGGTTTTCAAACAAAATTTGTTTAGGAAAAAATACACTTTAATGAATTAAAAAAAACACAATATATAACCCATTTTTTTTAAATATGAAAGATGATGTTACGCCAACTAAATACATACCAAACATGTCATGCTTAAAAAATTTTTGCATGCTTGTGGAATGGTGCCAAACTACGGTGTGTAAAAAAACTCCATAGGTGAAGCTTTAAACATTTTTACAGGTTTTTACAGGTTTTACAATTTGTAGTTACAGAGGAGGTCTAGTGCTAGAGTTATTATTCTCGCTCTGACGTTCGTGGCAATACCTCACATGTGTGGTGCGAGCACCGTTTACATATGTGGCCATGACCTACAATTGAGTTCATCACTGCACGTGAGCAGGGGATGGGGGGGGGGCTTTACATTTTTTCTATTTAGTTTATTACTTTTTAAAATTATTTTTACACTGCCCCTTAAAAATGTTTTTATCGTTTTTATTCCTATCACAAGGAATGCAAAACATCATTTGTGATAGAAATAAGCAGTGACAGGTCCACTTTATGAAAAAAAATCTTAGGTCAATAAGACCCCCTTATCTCTCCTCTACATTTGAATGCATTAAAACAAAAAAAAACCACATTGAGCTAATGCTTTTCAAAACAAAAAAAAAAAGGCCTTGCTTAGATGGGGCTGGGACCGGAAGTGACATCATGACGTCGCTGCAGTCCTCAAAGGCCATAGAGATGAGCAGAGACCATCTTTCTTCCACTCATCTCTGTAACAAGATGCCACCAGCGCCAATCATCCAGGTATATATACAGTATATATATGAAGAATGGCTCGCTCTCAGGCGCTCAGTGAATTCAAGCGTGGGTACTGTGATAGGTTGTCACCTGTGCAATATGTCCATCCATGAACTTTCCTTACTACTAAATATTTCACGGTCAACGGTTAGTGGTATTATAACAAAGTGGAAGCAACTGGGAACAACTGGGAACTTAGCCACCAAGTGGTAGTTCACGTATAATGACAGAGCGAGGTCAGCGCATGCTGAGGCACACAGTGCGCAGAAGTCACCAACTGTCTGCAGAGTCAATAGCTAAAGACCTCCAAACTTCATGTGGCCTTCAGATTAGTACAACAGTGCGTAGAGAGCCTCATTATTATTATTATTACAGGTACTTATTAGACATGTAAAACAAAAAAAAATGTTTAGTTTTGTTTCAATATCAAACAATTTTTGTGTAGTTGGATTCAATACATTTGTTCAATTTGTTTTCGGGATTCATTTCAGTAATTCGTATTCAAATTTAATTCAAAAAAACATATTTTACCAAATTCAAAAAGTCATTCACATTCAAAATTGGTTCAACCAAATTAGAAATTGATTCAACAAACTTGAATTAAAAAAAATACTAATTTGAAAAGTAAAGCTGTCCATATACGTGTAGATTTTTATCTGAAAATATTCATTTCAATAATATTCGTTTTATTTTCTAAACATTAGTGGGGTCAAATTGATGGTTGTTTTCGATGACAGTGATGGAAACGTTTCAAGGGGCAGGAAGGAAAACTTTTCTCGATCAAAAGAATTTTTGGCCAGTGTATGTGATGATCGTTCAGAAATTACATTCATTTTAAAATCAAATGTTAAAAGCAAAAGACAATTTTCGAATGACATTCGTCCATTCATTGAATGTGCAAAGAATTTTTGTACATTTTTTTAATGAATATCCTTGGCTGAAAATCTACATGTGTATGGCCAGCCTAATACCCCATACGCACGATAAAAAATCGTCTGAAAATTTTCATACAAGGATTTATCATCTGATAATCAGATCGTTAGTACACAGCTTTCGCGAGCTGACTATGACAATTCGTCCAACAATATCCGAAGGGACAAACGTGAAATTTTTTTTTTGCGCAATACCAGATCGTACAATTTTCATTTATTTAGCACAGTAGTCATCCGAAAATACAATACAAATACATGACATCACTTTATTCTTTTCTTTCATACAGGAATTTTCATATCTTTAGTAATCTTTTTTAATTTTCAATGTGAGACTAGCAGACGAAAAAAAAAAAAAAAGGACAATCATTCATCCGATATTTTCATCATGTGTATGTGGCCTAAGGCTGGCCATACACGTGTAGATTTTCAGTTGACAATTTTCGTTTCAAGAATATTCATTTAATTTTCTAATTGTTAAGCTGGTCATACACGTATAGATTTTAATTCGAGAATTTTCGTTTCAAGACTATTCGTTTGATTTTCTATTCGTATTCTTGTTTTCAAATTCGATTTTAAAGCAGAGTTCCAGTGAAAATAAAAAATAACATCCTGTGTTCTCAGTGCCGGCATCTTCAGTGTGAGCTGCAGGCTGTGACAGCCTGCAGCTTTACTGCTCACTGCACATGCGCAAGTAACATTGTGCTTTGTGAATGGTCCTGTAGTCTTCTGGGACCTGTCACGTGTCCCAGAAGACTATGGGGCGGAAGGAGGGAGGACAACTTCCGTTTCCGATCGCCTAGGTGATCGTAGAGGAAGTGGGATCAGGTACCTGTCAATTTCAGGTACCTGGTCCCCCACTCCTCAAAGGTGCCGGGGAGTGGGGGACCAGTCCTTAAAGTGGAACTTCCCCTTTTGGGTGTTTTTGAATTGAATTTCACTTTGTTATTTCATATTTGTTTAAATTTGTTATTTTTGTCATTTGTAATTCTGATACATCCAAATCACAAAACATTCTTCCGAAATTCAAATCGGAACAAAATGAACTGCACATGTCTAGTATGTATATAGCGCCATCAATTTATGCAGTGCTTTACATATATATTGTACATTCACATCAGTCCCTAACCCTCAAGGGGTGCACAAGGTCCCTAACTTACATACATATGATAGTGCCAATTTAGACAGGAGCCAACTAATCTACCAGCATGTCTTTAGAGTGTGGAAGGAAACTGGAGTACCTGGAGGAAACCCACGCAGGCACAAGAAAAACATGCAAACTCCAGGCAGGTGGTGTTGTGGTTTGGAATTGAACCAATGACCCTAGTACTGCCAGGGGGAAGTGCTAACCATTTAGCCACTGTGCTGCCCTTATTGGCATGGGTTTCCATGGCCAGGCAGCTGCATCCAAGCCTTACATCACCAAGTGCAGTGCAAACCATCGGATGTAGTGGTGTAAAGGACACCACTACTGGAAGCAGTGGAGACGTGCTCTCTGGAGTGAGGAATCACGCTTCTTTGTCTGGAAATCCGATGGATGTGTCTGGGTTTGGTGGTTGCCAGGAGAATGGTACTTCCCTGACTGCACTGTACCAAGTGTAAAGTTTGGTGGAGGGGGGATTATGGTGTGGGGTTGTTTTTCAGGGGTTGGGCTTGGCCCCTTAGTTCCAGTGAAGGGAAATCTTAAGGCATAAGCATACCAAGACATATTTTGACAATTTCATGCTCCCAACTTTGTGGGAACAGTTTGAGGATGGCCCCTTCCTGTTCCAACATGACTGCACACCAGTGCACAAAGCAAGGTCCATAAAGACATAGATGAGCGAGTTTGGAGTGGAGGAATTTGACCTTAAACTGATAGAACACCTTTGGGGTGAATTAGAGCAGAGACCACAAGCCAGACCTTCTTGTCCGACATCAGTGCCTGACCTCACAAAGGCACTTCTGGAAAAAATTGCCAAACATTCCCATAGACTACCATTGTGTACAGCCTTCCCAGAAGAGTTAAAGCTGTAAAAGCTACTGTACATAGAGTGGGCCTACTCAGTAATGAACCCTATAGACTGCGACTAGGATGCAATTAAAGTTCATGTGTGTGTAAAGGCAGGCGTCCCAATACTTTTTGCAATATAGTGTATATATATATATACTGTATATATATATATATATATATATATATCTATATGTATACACACACACACACACACACACACATACATATTCAGGGTAGTTTCTTTGGTAGCCAAGGGTATTTAATACTAGTTAATAACAAAAGCACAATTATACTACAGGTCTATACATTTATAACCAGCAAAGCATATACAGTATGTAAGAGGGGAAAGTGACTTCAAATATACAGTAAATATCCTATTCAAGTAATTACAAGAGTAAAGGTAACCTAGTGTGTGTACCAAGCAGGGCAGAAAGAGGAAATGGCAAAAAGATCCTTGCTAGAATGGGAGATGCATGTGGGAGGAACAAATCATTGCAAGCGCATAAAGCATATTTTCCCAATACTCTTCTATGCGAGCCAATGAAGGTGACCTTATTAAAACCTGTTTCTAACATTTTCATAAAAACACTTCTAATTTGCATACATATGTGGGCAAGTCATATATTATATCAAGGTGCCTTTGCAAGTTTGGTCCATTGTAAGCTGTGCCAGTGCCAGCACAAGGACATACAGAAAATATTGGAAATTAGATTTTTTTTATTGTTTAAACTGAAGTGAACAATTTCACTATGCTTACATACTGACATAGTCATTTTTGCACTGTTAAAATAAATACAAATTACCTTGTTGCTGATACAGCATCTTTAGCTTTGTGTTACTGATAGTAAAGCCCTAAAGTTCAGTGTCTGAAGTGTTAATGGAATATATCAAAGAAAATAAATGAGCTCAGTAATACACATAGGCATGTATGCTTCACTGATACAGAAGGCAAGGGAACTATTAGGTTTTATAGGCTCCTAATTTTCCTCTTTCCAAAAATCCACTTGCAAGATCCTTGACACACTATTTAAGTGGTGACCTCTGTAGCAGGATTTGCTTTCAGTGCGTCTTGTACAGTGCTAGATTTGATGAAGTGTTCTTTATGTACTCCTTGGAAGTAATCATGCATTTTGGCAAATATCCAGGAACTTTTCCCTCAAGAACATTTGATGCTGAGTGTGTTTATGTGGTTTACATGTTCACCTTTGCCACAACATTGTCATAATAGGGGACACACATTGGGCTTTCTGTGAAACAAAACTTCCCTGTGCTAATTCTTTTCTCAAGAAATAGAAATAGGGGATGTTGATATGTTGATAGCTTGTTGTTTAGAAATTAGCAGCATTGTTGAACGTGATTTTGTATCAATGTATTTCTGTCTAAAGGTTTCTATTTTAATTATTAAATCAGCCTAACATTTAAATCACAAAACCAGTTTTTTTTGCTGTTTGACAGAAATAAAAATGGTACGTTATTCCATCTTATTTCTAAAGTATTACAGCTATCCACCCAGTATTTAGTGAGCTTCAAAGAGATCTTTTTGAACCGCTAAGTATTTTCATTAGAGAATATTCCCTCTGTTCATTTTTGGGTTCTTCAAACGACTTCTGATTGATGTGAGCGAGAAAGACCGAATGTGGATCCTGTTGTTATGGGCTACAACAAGATTATAGGATGACATCCCCCATCTTCTGTATGTTTAATGCTCTTATAATGAAGTATTAGACTTCCTTATTAAAGAAGACCAGATTTTACATGTTTTTATTATATGGGGGTAGTTTATCATTTCCTACCTTCCTAACTCCCTATTTAGTTTAATTTTATTAACTCTGGTTTTCTTCTGAGTTTTATCTTTGGGTCTGTTCTTCTCCAGCAGTGTAGATAAATTACTTGTGCAAGTCATTTGTATATGAACATTCACAGAATGTATTGGTGCAGAATGTTTAAAGATGGGATGGAGACCAAGGGGACACTGAATACTTCAAACATGCTTCTAACTACCCGTTTCCAATCGTTCCTGCTTCTTTCTATTCTCCCTGATCACAGGCAATGCTAGTGGGTTACTACCCAGGACATTTTATTTTAAATCAAAGGTTGTCTTGATCATAGACTTCTCAAATAAACCAAAAAGGTTCCTCTGTAAAATTCTCCCTCAGCCAATCACTAACCAGTATGCCAAATACTTCCTTATGACCAATTACTTTCAGCAAGCCAAACTTTTTAGAAGCCTTTTAGAAGGGGAAACTACTACAGAATACAACCCTTTGGGTCTAATCCCAAGAGGGCTCAATACACCATCCTCCTAGGGCCT